GAATATCTTTTGCCGCCTGCCACACGTGGCAATTAAAGCAAATCCATAACACCCACGTTCTTTAGATTAATTAAAAACTGATAAATAAAAATAAGAAAAACAACGCGTCAATCGTCCGAAACTTTCGTAGTGCGTGCCAATTTTCTATTGCCTTAAATTAATAGAAAAAATCACGATACTAGATAGTAGCAAATATTTTCGATTTAACAAATTATGTTGAGTTTTGGGATATTATTCTCAATATATCTAATAACATAACCTTATTTACAAATAGTGTGTTCGGAGACCATTACCCGCTTTGGGACTTATATGAGTGATATATAAGTCATCAGGGGTTTTGATAAGACTCAAGTAAAACCGAGGAATTCACTCGTAGAGACCTCGTAACTTAGATATTTTTAAATAAAAGATTTTAAGTGAAACTCTTAGACAAAGTTATAGTATCCGCCAATGTAAGAGTAAAGTACATAGTTAGTTATAAAACAAATACAATCAAAAGCAAGTTTGAAATCGTGTGTAGTCGCATGTTTTTTTTTTTAATATCTCATAAGCTTTTCTATAAATCTGAAGTACACGCGTAAAATCTACATTGATTCTTAACGATGAGACAAATATGGGGTGTGTTCCGTTATACACTGTGATCACAGTAAGGTGTGACGTCAATTCAGTATACTCTAAAGCCGTTACTTTTTAGTTTGCTGTACTGGTTACTGTCTAAAACGGAACGTGTCCAGTATACTGTTATCTCCATTTTTCGACAGTGTTTATTAATGAAAATATTGTTTGAATGTTGTTTCTTTTAAAACTTAATGTGCGAGTTTATTTGTATAACAATATTAATAAATAATAATAACAATCTTTCGTGGAAGCTGTTAAATCTCTAGGCGCTGAATTATGCTTTTTGATAACGTGATCAAAGTACTGAAGAGCACTTTACCTCGAAAGCGCCAGTGCTCACAGTACAAAAATGGCGGCGATTTATGACTTCATATATTTCCCTTTTTCATATATTTAGGGTACTGCGACAGTATACTGGACATAACGGAACGATTTTTTCTCCAGTGAGAGCACTGAACAATGCCCGCAGTGTATATCGAAACACGGCCATGATCACGGTTACACATCATTCACCCACCTGTCAAAACTAGCTTATAGATTGAAGTGCTGTGACATAAGATTTCTCGTTCCAGCCACAAGAGTTTGAGAAGCAACAAAGCTGTTTTGTTTTTGTTTGAACAATGCTGTCACTACATATAGTTGCAACGTACTCACAGTTTTGTTCCACTTTCATACGGGCGCCGTTCAGGGAACAGATAAGTTTTTTTTTTGTTTGAAAATTCAACTATGATTTCTTATATTTGCGCAAACACTACACATTGGATTAAACTATTTATTCGGATTTTATAGCGTTTAATTTTAATGTTGATGAATTAACAATGACTGTTCCAGGTCTAGATTTGTCCGTGTGCAATTTATATGTATGTCCTCGGTACACGACTCCTTGGATGTACCGTTTTAAAAATTAAAAAAGTAAGTCTTTCACGCAGAATATAATTATGAAGAGGAAGTTTATGTTTATAAGTTATTTATATTAATCACATCCGAGTGAGAAGTGATTCATACAATACAATCCAATCACTTCTACTGAAATTGTCTGCCTGATAACACGTAATTGATAAAAGTATATTTGTAGACACAATACAAAATTTTAATAATCGACGAATTAAAATTCAAGGAATGACATATCTAGACGTAAATTAAAAGATCCTCAAAGAATTCCTCTGAGAACAAACGGCCAGCAGACATCAAAGTTTGTGAAAATCGGTAGTGTTCATATTAAACTATGATTATGTATAGAAAGCGACTCCACTAACCCCGTTCTATATTTTTTTAAATAACGGCAATTTTTAATGCAGTTAAAAAAATTACACGATATTATTTTAGTTTTGTTGAAACTACGAGTATTTAATATGTACTGCAGTATAGTGACTCGTTTTAACTTTCATTCACTAACCTAATTCGATAATTACAAATTATTACTCAAAATCAAACAAGTTGATTCTTTCTTCTTCTACTTTTTCTTTTTGTGGCGGTTTGGTAACATTCGCCAATGACGTATGTGTGGAAAATGAAAGCTTATGAGTTTAATTAAAATAAGAGTCTGCGATGATACAAGGATTCAGTATTCCTCCTAGAATTTTGACAAATCTATCTGTTGAATTACCTAGAACTACCTACATGACGACACATGCCGACTACATGACAAACACTGGTGTTAGACGTATATTGCACGCTCATGCAGGCTGTCAGTTTTACAACAATCACGGATTAACGAATAACCTACCGTGTAATGCAGCGATTGACGCCTGCATGAGCGCGTAATGTACGCCTATCAGTCACCATCCGTTTTTTATCAATCATGATTGATAGAATTGCTTGACGCCTGCATGAGCACGTAATGTACGCCTATCAGTCACCATCCGTTTTTTATCAATCATGATTGATAGAATTGATTGACGCCTGCATGAGCGCGTAATGTACGCCTATCAGTCACCATCCGTTTTTTATCAATCATGATTGATAGAATTGCTTGACGCCTGCATGAGCGTGTAATGTACGCCTATCAGTCACCATCCGTTTTTTATCAATCATGATTGATAGAATTGCTTGACGCCTGCATGAGCGCGTAATGTACGCCTATCAGTCACCCTTCGTTTTTTATCAATCATGATTGATGGAATTGCTTGACGCCTGCATGAGCGCGTAATGTACGCCTATCAGTCACCATCCGTTTTTTATCAATCATGATTGATAGAATTGCTTGACGCCTGCATGAGCGCGTAATGTACACCTATCAGTCACCATCCGTTTTTTATCAATCATGATTGATAGAATTGTTTGACGCCTGCATGAGCGTGTAATGTACGCATATCAGTCACCATCCGTTTTTTATCAATCATGGTTGATGGAATTCATAGACGCCTGCATGAGCGTGTAATGTACGCCTATCAGTCACCATCCGTTTTTTATCAATCATGATTGATAGAATTGCTTGACGCCTGCATGAGCGTGTAATGTACGCCTATCAGTCACCATCCGTTTTTTATCAATCATGATTGATAGAATTGTTTGACGCCTGCATGAGCGCGTAATGTACGCCTATCAGTCACCATCCGTTTTTTATCAATCATGGTTGATGGAATTGCTTGACGCCTGCATGAGCACGTAATGTACGCCTATCAGTCACCATCAGTTTTTTATCAACCACGGTTGATGGAATTCATAGACGCCTGCATGAGCGTGTAATGTACGCCTATCAGTCACCATCCGTTTTTTATCAATCATGATTGATGGAATTGCTTGACGCCTGCATGAGCGTGTAATGTACGCCTATCAGTCACCATCCGTTTTTTATCAATCATGATTGATGGAATTGCTTGACGCCTGCATGAGTGTGTAATGTACGCCTATCAGTCACCATCCGTTTTTTATCAATCATGATTGATAGAATTGCTTGACGCCTGCATGAGCGCGTAATGTACGCCTATCAGTCACCATCCGTTTTTTATCAATCATGATTGATAGAATTGCTTGACGCCTGCATGAGTGTGTAATGTACGCCTATCAGTCACCATCCGTTTTTTATCAATCGCGGTTGATGGAATTCATAGACGCCTGCATGAGCGTGTAATGTACACCACAGAATCTTATTAGTATGTTAAAAGTGACAAGGATTTAAAGTTTCATGTTATCAATATTAATAAAATCACATAAAATATACCACAAAAAGTTGATTCTTCTTGAAAATCAAAATAAACTTTTAGTAAAAATATCGACTATAAAAACAAAACAAATGAAAATAATCTCCACACAATAGCTTTTAAAGTTGGTGATTAGAGATAGCGTATTAAAGCACCGAAAAAACAACTGGAATGTCGTCTTCTTAAATATTTAAATTATATGTTAAACTACTATTTTTTCGCTTTTAGAAATGGAATTTTTTCTTCAATTTTATACGAAATTACTCCTGAAGTACAACGTATCTGATTCAAAAAAGAATCATTGAAATCGGTCCAGCTGTTTCCGAGAAATCAGCTAACATACATAAAAAAACATACACGTAGGATATAGAACCTTGTTATTTGAACTCAGTTAAAATGCAGACAACGTATAACATAACGTCATTCGTTTACCTTTCCGAAATAACCCACGACATTCTAGCTAACTAACCTTCTTACTTACTACTTACTTATTACTTACTATACTGTAGTGACCCAAAGTGGTTCTTGGCCTCTAATATTAAATAACGTTATTCCTTCATATCCTGCTCTCGATCTGAAGAAAACTCTCTTCAGTCGTTTATCTAAAGGGCATTCAGGCTCTATGCATCTCATCACTCCATCGATAACTTGGACATCTAACCAGTTGCTCCAACAGATAGTGTTTTTACACATATGAAGCGATAATTGAACTTACTATCCATCTGATGGTACTGCAGTCTATAGCTAAAACTTTTGCGATAGCAATAGGTAAGAGGATGTGAATTAACTATTCGGACTACTGAGCTACTCTACCTACCTAGGCTATACTTTGAGGTAGGTAAGTATAAAAACCTACTTCGAAGTAAAATATAGTAAGTAACCTAGCCTAATCCAAGGTATGCCTCTTTCGTTCTACGTTTTTTCATTCTGTCTAAATGTCGGAGTCACCGAAGTCTGCAAGATTTTCATTTCACCGATTACGTAGGGCTCGTCGACCAGAACTATTTCTTCATTCTTTTTCTTTACCCTCTAACTTCTATCTTCGTCTTCAGTTGACCTGAGAAATGTTTCGAACTCCCGAAATTTCAAACTTTAATTACTAGCACGGCTAGCACAAATAACTTCATTTAAAATCAAAGAATTATCGTTCTACTTAAATAAGACGCTTTCTCAATCCTTGTAATCATCTGTGGCACAAATTACCTTCTGTCTTTGAAGTTAAATGAGAACCCCACTGACCTGTATCTGGAACATGGAGATGGTGTCGTCCAGCATGTGCACGCGCACGGCAAGCATTTTGCCGCCTTTCTTGGGCGTGGCGGGGGGAGTGCGCGCGCCGCCGGCACCGTCCACGCCCGCCGGTGTGCTCGCCGAATGGTGCATGCGACCTAGTCCAAATATGTCGTTAAATCACTAGAAGAATTATCCAAATTACATTAATGGTAGTTTTAGGCCCGGTTTCCACCAAAGCAGAGAGGAGAGGAGACGAGACGAGATGTGTTTGAATAAACCAATCCGATTTCGTTATTTCCACATCTCTTCTCCGCTTAGCTTCGGTGGAAATGAATCAAGCGGAGAGTAGAGGAGATGTCTCATTTTTCTATAGAATTTTGTGCGGTGAGCGAGCTAGCGGCGCGGCAAAGCGGAGAAGTGTCTAGTCAGGCGGCTGGGCTGGGCCGGGCGGCGCACGAGCTTGCGCACCCCGCTGTCTTCTTGCAGAACCTATGTTGCCGTCGATAATTTAAATATTGAACAATTAATTGTGTTTATTCAACCTCTAATTTCTCTTCCTTAAGCAAATTCAAATACAACTTTTGTAATGACATGACATCTTCCTTTAGTAGATAGAACTTGACTGGTTTCGATCTCTTACTTCTCTTCGCTTTGGTGGAAATAACCTGGCAGCTTTGAAGCACATCTCCTCTCGTCTCCTCTTCTCTCCGCTTTGGTGGAAACCGGTTCTCACGTGGCAGACCCAAGCTGCCGCTATATTATGGTTGTAGCATATCGACCGAGGTAGGACCACGCACTCACAGAATACCAGCATAAAACAGCAGCTTAATGCTGATGTGTCTGGTGAAAGTTCAGAACCGGAGAACCTCTTTACTGGAAACGAGGCATTCAATCTTAGTCTTCGGAGGTGATAGGTAGAAGTCTATGGGCCACAGCAGCCACTTACCATTAGGTGAACTATGTGCTCGATTGTTACCTCCATTCTATTTAAAAGAAAATGGCCAATAAAACCAACATTGAGCACAGTGCACTGGACACACAAACATTACTGATTTTTGAAATTGTAAGGAGAGTGTGGTGAATTTGCAATGCTATACCCAAATACAGATTAACAGACTTGTTGACATTCCATTCATTCATTCTGACTGCTGATAAAATCTAACGCCGGCCTTACCATGATACTTAACATTGGATTTTAGTGGCATCTGAACCGGGGTCGAACCCTAGATTTCAATGCGCTTTCTATGACAATATATTTCATTTATAACAAATAAATACAACGATGGTTAAAATAGTGATTTTTATTTTGGAGGATAGTATTATTCCATTTTCTGCAATGGCGTCTTTGCCTCTATAAGACTAATAAAGTAAATAAACGTTATATTATATTATATTTCAGGTTTATAATTATTTTTTAATCCACTAAACTTAGTAGTAGTTCTTTGAACAATCTAGAAATCTAGATAGACAACGGCGTGCGACTTAACAAATTCGAATGACAGCCATTCAAGACTCCGCGCCCTAATAAAAAGGTTTATTTTATATTATTTAATAAATAATTATTATCTATCACCATGTACTAGTCTGCAGTAGTTCTAAGCTTTAAATTTATTTATTTTTAATTTATTTAAAAAAAGTGTAATAGTTTGTCGGCTGTTTTAAGGTTAAAGTAAAATTGATTAATATTAATATTTACTTCTGTTATACATATTTATTTTATTATTTTTTATTATTATTTTTGTCTTGTTAATATTTATTACCTAATGAAATATGTATTTACCAATCAAGTCATTATAATTATTCGAATTGAACTATATAAAAACAGAATAGAAATTGACAAATCTAAAGTTTAATCTAAAGAAAAATTTATATAATAATTAGTACCCAGTTGACCGAGCTTTGCTTGGTATTTTTCGCTCGATTTTTTTTTAATTCGTGTGTTTTGGAAATTATATTTAGATACAAATTACATAGTGATGAAATACGAATAATATTTTTTGATCTTAGCGACATAATAGAAAAAACTGAACTCGTTATTTGAATAAAAAATCATGAGTGCAATTAGTTTAATTTAAATTTTCGTGTTTTTAAAAAATACTAAAAAACTAAAAAAAGGGCTCGAAAAAATAGATTTTCTCAAAAAAGAAAGGATCTTGAAAAAAATATTTAAAAAGTCGGTCGGTCGGTCTGGGCTCGAACCATGGTATTACGATTTTGTGACCGCCCAATATACCAATTAAGCTATTTGTAATCATTAATAAACTGTCAAAATTTACCTAGCGATATTGTAGCAGTTTTTCATTGCCTAAAAACACGGACAAAAAGACATTTTCTAAAAATAAATCCTAGCTAGATCGTTTTATTGCCCCCGAAACTCCCTGCACACAAAATTTTATGAAAATCGTTAGAGCCGTTTCCGAGATTCCGATTATATATATATATATATATATATATATATATATATATATATATATATATATATACAAGAATTGCTCGTTTAAAGGTCATCATCATCATCATCATCACAGCCCTTCACAAGTCCACTGCTGAACATAGGCCTCCCCCAAGTAATGCCACAAAGCACGGTCCTGAGCCACCTGCATCCATCGACTTCCTGCATATCTTACCAGGTCGTCACTCCATCTAGTGGGGGGTCGCCCTACACTACGCCTACCGGTACGAGGCTGCCACTCGAGAACCTTTCTTCCCCATCGGTTATCGGTTCTTCGAGCTATATGGCCGGCCCATTGCCACTTCAGCTTACTAATCCGTTGGGCTATGTCGGTCACTCTGGTTTTACTGCGGATATCCTCATTTCTGAGTCTATCACGCAGAGAAACTCCGAGCATAGCCCTCTCCATAGCTCGCTGAGCGACCTTGAGCGTCCTCATACGGCCAGCAGTGAAGGACCACGTCTCTGATCCGTAAGTCATCACTGGCAACACGCACTGGTTGTACACTTTAGTTTTCAGAGATTGAGGTATACCTGACGAGAAGATATGTCGTAATTTCCCGAACGCTGCCCAGCCGAGTTGAATCCGTCGATTCACCTCTCGGTCGAAGTTGGACTTACCTAGTCGGAATATTTGTCCCAGGTAAACGTACTCGTCAACAACTTCGAGCATAGTGCTCCCAACAACTATCGGCATAGGTGTGACATGGACATTAAACATAATCTTTGTTTTGTCCATGTTCATCTTAAGACCTATCCGTTGGGAGGCACTATTGAGGTCATTGAGCATAGTGCTTAAGTCCTCCAGCGATTCTGCCATAAGGACTATATCGTCGGCAAATCGAAGGTGAGTGATGTACTCGCCATTGATGTTAATACCGTATCCTTTCCAGTCCAGTAGCTTGAAAACGTCTTCCAAAGCAGCGGTGAAGAGTTTCGGGGATATAACGTCACCCTGTCTTACACCTCTCTGCAGTTGGATAGGTTTCGAGCTCTGGTTCTGTACTCGGATAGCCATCGTAGCCCTACTGTACAAACACTTCAGCACTTCGATATACCGACAGTCAACTTGGCACCGCTGAAGGGACTGCAGCACCGCCCAAATTTCGACGGAATCGAAGGCTTTCTCATAGTCCACATACGCCAGGCAAATTGGCAAATTGTACTCTTCAGTCTTCTGTACAATCTGCCGCAGGGTATGTATGTGGTCTATGGTACTGAAGCCTTTTCGGAAACCGGCTTGTTCGGGAGGCTGGAAGTCGTCGAGTCTGCGTGCGAGACGATTCGTAATGACTCTCGAAAACAGCACGTAGACGCGGCTCAGAAGGGAAATCGGTCTGTAGTTCTTCAAGAGAGCGTTGTCGCCTTTCTTAAAGAACAAGACCACCGCACTTCTGCTCCACGCCTCTGGAGTAGTGCCACCATGGAGGACGGAATTGAAGAGCTTCTGAAGGACTTCAAGTACCGGTGTTCCACCCGCTTTCAGAAGCTCCGCTGTAATTCCATCCTCGCCTGGGGCCCTGCCGTTTTTAAGGTGCTGGAGAGCCATTCTAATCTCGCTTAGACTGACGTCCGGGATATCATCGGAATAGTGTCGGATAAGACTTGCTCTTGGATCGTTACTCACACTTGCGTGTGGCTCCAACGATGATGTGTACAGCTGCCCATAGAACCTCTCAATCTCACTCAAAATCTCAGGTGTCCCGGAAACGATGCTGCCACACTCAGTCTTCAGTCTTGACAGTTGGCTCTTTCTGGCAGACAGATCTCTGGCAAAGACTTTGGAGCCCTGGTTCCGCTCGATCGCTTCTTTAATACGAGCAGTATTAAAGTTGCGTAAGTCTCGCCGCATGCATTTGGAGATCTGTCTGTTCAGTTGCCTGTATGCTGTCAAATCTGTTGACGATTGCAGCCTCATCTCCCGTCTAACAGCCATGAGATTAAGAGTGTGATCGGAGAGTTTTTGTGTTCTTCTGCGGCGGGTCTTGCAGAACTTAGCTCCGACCGCATGGACAGTTTCCACGAGCTTGTCATTCATATCGTCCACTGCATTGCAATCTTGTAGGCACTGAAAGCGGTTGTGTAACTCGAGCTGAAAGTTTTCGGGATTTTGGATTAGAGCACGAGGGGGGACGGAGCGTTGACTTCATTAGACGAGACCTCTCCAACTTAACGTTTAGGTTCAGTGTGCCTCTAACCATTTGGTGATCGCTGCCAGTTTTCACCCTTGCGATCACTGAGACATCACTGAACAGTTGGCGTCTGGTCGTCATAATGAAGTCAATCTCATTTTTTGTCGAACCGTCGGGGCTCGACCAGGTCCACTTCCTGTGGGGCCGCTTCTGAAAGAAAGAGTTCATCATAAAGAGTCCCTCTTTCTCCATAAATTCGGCCAGCTGCTGGCCCCTTCGGTTCCGTTGCCCTACTCCAAATTTCCCTAACTTCAGCTCACCGTTTTCTCTTGTGCCTAGTTTTGCGTTGAAGTCTCCCATCAACACCGTGTAGTGGGTTTTGGAGGAATGTATGGCTTTGGAAATATCCTCATACATTTCCTCCACCTCCTCATCGGAATGTGCCGACGTTGGTGCGTAAACCTGTATGACCTTCAGCGAATACCGTTTGGTGATTCTGAGTATCAGGTACGCGACCCTCGTCGACACACTCTCAATCTGTACAACGTTGTTGACGAGAGACTTGTGGACGATAAATCCGACACCTCCTTGGGACAGATGGTCGCCCTCCCGGTGATAGAACAAGTTGCCGGATTCGAGAATCACCGTGTCCTCCCCCTCTCTTCGGACCTCGGATAATCCTATAATACTCCAGCGCAACTTGTCTATCTCTTCTTCCAGCTCCAGGATCTTCTCGTCAGTCCTCAGTGTGCGTGCGTTAAATGTTGCCAGGTCGAGTCGTCGTAGGTGGCAACCGAACCTCCACCGGAGATTCTTAGCACCCCCTGCCCCGCCGTTACCATGGTCGCCACCGTAGCCAGGAATAGCGGGGCCGCCGGGGACTGGGGGCCGTCTATTTGTGTAATTGTTCATGGGGGGTATATTGCCATAGTTGCCACGCTTGGCGAGCGGGTTGGCAACCGCAGTTTTTTTTTGTCGTACAGTTGCTGTTATCAGGAAGATGCTGCTGCCCATCTCCTGCCTGTCTCCCTCTGTCGCCTCTTACGACACCCACGGGAAGATATGGGGTAGTGGATATTCTTAACCGCCACTACACGGCAGTTTAAAGGTATAGGATAGGATTTATAAGACAATACTCACGAAATACTTAAGCCAATCTCTGCCTTTATAACAAGAAAGCTGGCATACACGGACTATAGATTTTACTGTATGTAACGTCCGTCCGAAAAATGGTCTGATTTACCCCAAAGTCGTGCCTAAGGAGGATATACTCCAAAAATAAAAGTACGTAAAGTAAAGTAAGTAAATGTAGACTAAGCGTCAACTACGTCTTCGCACCTAATGCGATCGTAACATTAACATGAGAGCGATCTCTATTACATAAGACATATAATCGGTAGGCACATAAACTTAGGAGTAGTATAGTCAACGTAATGAAAATATTTCTCTTATAACCACCAATGAGTCTAATGTGGTATCTAATAAAAGTGTACTACATTCATCATCGCCAACACGTAGCACTCGAATTTTGTGAACGTCTCCAAAATAGCGACAGCAGTATCAAACATTTGAAAACCATCAGCATGCAGCCCAAAGGCTGATTTAATTTAAGTCCTTCAATTTTCTAATCATATTTTGGTCATTTATTGAGGGCTTTGAGATTTAAAAACTTAAAAACAAGAGTGCACAACCAGTGCTTGTTGCCAGTGACGACATATGAATCTCAGACGTGGTCCTTTACTGCTGGCCCTATGAAGAAGCTGAAGGTCGTTCAGCAAGCTGTGGTCGGAATTGTTCCGTGTTAAAGACTTCGTAATAAGGATGTCCGCAGGAGAACCGAAGTAACCAACCTAACCTAACGGATCGGCCGGCTATATAGCTCAAATCACAAAAGGAAAAAAGGTTCTCGAGAGATAACTTCGAGAGGTGACGTCCCACTAATAGAGTGACGAGCTGATACGAGAGCAGGTAAGTGATGTATGCAGGTGGCTCAGGATACGCTTAGCGTCATTTCATAGTGGATGTCTATGTTCAACAGTGGAATTGTGATGGGCTTTCATGATTATATGAAGTCCGTCAACACACATTGGAGCAGAGCAGCGAAGTATTTGTTGTTTTATATTAAAAAATACAAATGTGATGTAGGTACAGTACAATTTTAATGACTGTCTCGTTGTTCTAGTGGTTGTAGTAGTGCAACTGATCATGAGGTCCTGGGTTCGAACCCTGGGTTGAGCCAAAAAATCAATTATTGAGTTTTTCTGTCAAGAAATTCTCAGCAACTGCCCAAAGTAAGGAAGTTGGCAGTGTCTCACCCCCATGCTTCGGAAAGCACGAAAAACCGTTGGTCCTGCGCTGCGCCTGATCTCTCTCCGGTCGTGTCGGTTCTCCGTCCCATCGGATTATAAGAGTGAGAGAATAGAGTGCACCTGTGCTTGCGCATACAAATGGACAATATAATCCTGTCCTGAGCCGATGGCTAGTCTGCGATGAGACTAGCCACCGTGACAGATTTATTCTAGAGGATATTATTACAATTTTAATATAAAAGGAACCTACCTGGTAAAGTATGGTATCCTATTGTGGACAGATGTCCAGTGGAATTACAGCTACCAGGTGGGAGCTCAGAATCCATCATATTGCTGTCTTGTTATTCTGCTGCAATTCCGAGACCCATTGACAGGGGCTAAGTGCCATTATATGAATTACAATTGACATCCGCAACAGTTCAGACTATTTTTTAATCTGCAGACAAGTAAAAAATTAAGTTATCAGTTATCGAAATAATGTTAATCTTTAATATTCATTAAAATTAAAAAACAAAATAATTGCTAGGGTGGGTGTACCAGTCCCACAGCAGGAACCAGTAGTAGAACATTTCAATTTTCAAATATTAACCTTCTTTTGAATTTCCTATATTTTTTTTTACATTTGGTAGCTTGGCCGTACTTCTACCAATCATGTATTAGTAATAAATAAAAATACAATTTGAAACGACAATTGTTCACTTCTTTTACTTAGCACATGTATGACAGTACTTTATTTTAACCTTAATAAATCTTTGTTCATATCTATTATTGTAACCTATTTTTGAGTTAACTGCATAATATAATGAATATATCAATAATATTATATATTATTTTATCAGAAAATTCGAGCTGAAATCAATAATTGTCATTGGTAAACCATTGGAACACAAATTCTATGATTTTCTAGTAACATTCCATTTGGTCAACAACTGGTGAGTAAGCTCTTTAATACATTTCTTATTTTTTCTTTTACTTTTATATTCACTTAGATACTTCAATAAATTTTTAAAAGTAAACTTGTCAAAAATACACAATTTGCCAGTGGTTTATTACTAGTAATATCTATACTACGAGTTTGTTCCACTAATTGACCACCTACACTTTTTTTACAAACACAATGCCACCAAGTAGAACTTTTTTTAATATAAGATGGCATAAAAGCGATAGAAGAAATAAGTAAAAGCGCGAAAGTTAGAGAAACATGCCAAAAATATAATATTCTGTAACTGTCATAAATAAAATGAAACTGAAAAACAAAACATTGTGATGAGCCTTGCAGCATTAATAATTACATCTATGATTTAAAGTCACAGCTCCATGGCTTAGCAATGAGTTACAGCCCTAAGAGACGCGGGTTCGAATCCCACACGTAAAAAGTATTTGTATGGCCTACAAGTAATTGTCCGGGTCTGAATGTTTTTTTTTGTGAAATTTATGTTTGTAGGCTGCCCCCACGATACAGTAGAAAATCCTAGTGTAGAGGTAATGTTTTCACAAAGGAAAAAAATGTTGTGATGATTAATGATGACAAAACTTAATTGAGTTCATGAATATTAATAATAAATGTATTCTTCATTTAAAGCATTCATTGTTTTTACATATATTATATTACTGGTACAATCTGGTCAACCTTAAGCATGTTGTGACTTGCCACATTAATTTTTAAATAAAAATAAACTTAATAGCTATTATATAAACTTAATAATATAAATTGAAATAAGCCACATGATTATATGGTAAATAAAGAGTATGATTATATATTTTGTGCAATGATTGTTGCAATAATTCAATAACATCATCAAAATTTGTTTCAAAATGTTGCCAATTGATTTGTTACTTGTGCACCCACCCTATACAATAACTTTTATTATGTTACACAATTTTACTATAGTGCAAAAAATATTGGACACCACAAAAAGTTAAAGCAATAAAGTGCAATAAAAGTAAAATTTCATAACTAATTTTGGGCTGAATGAAATAATTCAACTGGGGCAAGTCGGAGATAAATTAAAAATAATCTATATCAGTTTCCATTCTTGGATTTATTATTGACATATTATTTTAATACAAATGATGGTAGTTTGAACTAAAATTCTTATGAGTTTGTAAATGGTTCCTAATGAAATATTTGTCAAACCCTGTTATATCTAAAACTTCAATGCATATAGCGGTCTATTTGAAGAGATATTTACAAATCAAAGCAACCTTCAAGTCATTGAGTGCATCATCCCCAATATCTGTGTAATGGGTGGGATAAATTGAAAGAAATTATGCAGCGTGAGCCAAACTGTCATTTTGTTCAGAATTCAAGTTAATGTAAAGATGTTAATAGACATCAAACATTATGTTTCCTATATAACTTGCGTATACAGTCAAACCTGGATAAGCAAGAGTTCAAGGCAGCACAATCTCATTCTCGCTTATAGAGGTTTCTCACTAACCGGAGTTTCTCACTAATGCAGATACATGGGTAGCGTTTCTCTCTTATAGAGGTACGCAGCAATAACAAGTCACAGCAAGAACGAATGTAGTAAATATGTAATATGATAAAATTGTGATAATAGATCTTCCTATTATCGCAATTTTATCATATTATATATTTAGAACTTATTTACACTTAAAAAAAAATCCGTCAATTTCGTTTGGGTTTCTGTTTTTGTATTTTGAATGTTTTTCTCTAACTCATAAACTTTGTCGAATATTGTTTGATTAAAAACCGCCGCATATTTAAAGTAAAGTACTGATGGACCGACTCCAATGCATTTAAAGCTAGCTTTATTGGAATGATCTTTATTTCTGTTTCTGGAATCTGTGCCTCGTCTTCACTGTCATTTCTAGCAATACAGGTGTTCATACAATTCTTAACGATATCATCGTCAGTTTGTTCTCCAGCGGAAGTTACGTCGTCGTCAATTTGAACGAAATCTTCGAAGCTCGGCATTAACATATTGGATCTGTAAGACACAAGCTTAGTCCATTCCTCGCTGCTAGGTCGAACTTGAACATCATTTTCTTCTGGCAGGTCTTGCTCATCTGTACTTTTCACTTATAGTGGTATAGATAAGTAGCAGTCTCACTTATGGAGGTCCATGAGGGAAAAACGACTCTCTCTTACAGAGTTTTCTGTTTCTCGCTAATAGAGGTTTTGGGAACTTAAAATGACGGGTCGGGTCGGGCGGCTATTACTCTCACTTATAGAGTTTTCTCACTTATCCAGTTCTCACTTACCCAGGTGTGACTGTATAAAGTTTTAAACAAATATATAAATGGTGGACTACTTAGACAAAGTGATTAAAGAATATGGCTTAGGTTCTCATGACAGTTTTGTAAGGAAAGACAAATGAATCTATAATTCAAATAACATCAAAATGTTGTCAGTATAGTGAAAATTAGGCCAAACTGTGGGTAAAGATTTGTGTAAGGAGGTCAACAAACTATGCGAAGCTCTTTTATAGTATTACAGTATATTTAACAAGCCCAATGGTTGAAAAAATTTACTGACAAGGGTTTATGAACATTTTGTACCCTGTGACTTCCACCACTAAGACAAATGTTTAAATCCATCAAGCCTTTTACGTTACAAAGTATGTCAAAGAAATAGATGTACATAAATACACTCGAAAAATAATAACCTCCACTGGCAGTTAAGACTATGCGCTTATAAAGCCAAAAATGAAAAAATTACTTAATGTTATTAGACATCCATATCTTGACCTTATAATTAGATAATAGATATATTTAACAAGAGATAAGAGTGATAGAAAAGCCTTTTATTCAGACAATGTTAGTTTATACTTTCTTCCATATATTTTTCTTTTTATAGACTAATTTTGCTTCAACATCCCTGTCTGTGTGCGTCTTTTGACAAAGGCCTCCTCCAACTGTGACCATTTTTCTCTGTCACCAGCCACTCTTGTCCATGTGCCACCTGCAACAGCCTTTATTTCATCGATCCATCTTATGGATGGTCTTCCTCGTTTCCTTCTCCTGTTTCTTGTGAACCAGAACATTATTGTTTTTGACCATTTTTCTTTGCCCCTAATTGTACGTTTTTTTATGGTTACTGTAATGTCCCTTGTTCCAATGTGTTTCTTTATGGTTGTAGTTCTTATTTTATCTTTCAGTTTTTTGCCCATCATACTCCTTTCCATAGCATTTTGGCACACTGCAAGTTTTCTATTGTGAGATTTAGTAAGTGCCCGGGTTTGGCAACCTATTATTAAAAAAAAGAGGGATTGAAGCTCTCTATGTGGACATTCAGTCTGGCACATACTATTTCTTGTATGGGGGGGGGGGGGGTTTATTGTCATTGGAAAACATAAACTGATACGAAAACAATATGGTAACTAAAACTAACTGCCAAATGATACTATAACAGCTGATAATAACACTGTTTATTACTGGTGATTTCAACTATCCTGCTATAAAATTACCAATAGAGAACAACACCAATAAGGTCCAGTGTGGTTGGCAAAATTGTCTTTTTACAACTGTTAATCCCTATAGGAAACTATTAAAATAAATAGGAATAATATATATCTAAGGATAAGACATGAGGCTGTGATATAATTCACAGAGTATTTTTAGAAGTTATTGCTACTTTCTGATCTAGCAGGATCTATTATATTATGATTTAGCAGTAAAGTTAAATCAAATCATGTGTAAGGATCGGTCACAAAACCTTAAGAAACTAACATTCAAATGCTGGTTTCTTTAGATTTTGTGTATCTGTCTTTACAAGAGAAGCCCATTTTCCTGGTAGATAAAAGTAGTACCTGTATGTTACCAATTTTATTGGGTGTACTTCTCCAATACACCCAATAAAATTGGTTGTAGGTGTCCATGAGCAGCATTAGTCACTATCAGGTGAACTATGACATGTTATGTAATAATCTAATATATAGCAATTAATGTTTATTTATTTGTATTTTATGCACTGTCATACCGTTCATCAGATTGTGGTACAACTTTGGCAACTTATTGCTTACACTTGCACAAAGGTTATAGACATAGTACAATTCAATTAACTTACAGTAAGTTGCGTGCATATCATACAGACAAATATATTAGAAAGTTATATATCACTCAACTTCAATAAATGTTTACCATTCCTAATTAAACAATAACTCTTCCAATTTTTAAACAATATTTCCACAACTATTTCTTTTGCTGTAGCAACGTGCTGAGTAACAGATAGTATTGATATAAAAAGGTCATGTTAAAAAATATTTTAAAAATACCACATTATATGGAAAAGTTGCAAGAAAGTGTAGTTTATAGACTAAAAACCATAATTGTGAGCAAATGACAATAATTATGCATTAATATTATAGTTTCAATTTTCAAAACCAAATTACCTCCAGAAATATATAATAACCTTACATATTGTAGAAAAGGAAATTTTTTTAAATATTATCAAGGATTTAAGCCTAGGACTTTAAAATTTTAGATATTTAAAATAAATGTAAGTAATAAACAGAACTTAAAAACATTTAAGGCCATAAGAACTTGACAATAACATCTTTACTTATTTCTTATAGTTATTTTATCATAAATAAATATGTTTTTACATGGCACATTGATACATTAAAACTATTAGTGGCACATTAAGGTTATTATGACTTAAAATAAATAATTAATATAAAAAATCCTAATATTGAAAAAATTAAAATACAAGAAATGTGTCACTCTCACCTCCTGGTAATAAATTACTTTACTGCATATGATGCAGGACCGGCGCCCTAATTCACACCCTCAGTCATAAATAGTAGCTCCGATGCAATAGCCAGAAAATAGGTCAACGGAGGTGTGCCCAGGCCACCCCGACAGAGACAACAAACTGCCTTAGCGCATCTTAATCCTAGCGCAAATATTACAAGACTACAACTACTACTTGATTATAACTGCAGTAATTTTGTAATATAATAAATTTATACCATATAGATAAACTGGCATAAAAAATAACTTCATATCTCTACTTACTTTAATACGCAAGTTTACGAGGGACGCAACGCATATATACAACTTTCAATATTCGCACGTCTTGTCAACCATCAATTGACTAAAGTTGGATGCACTATACACTATAAACACAAAATATTTGATATACACTCGCGTTTACATTGTAATATTAGGCAAGCAAATTTATTTTAATTTAAAATATCTCTCACTATCATCCGTTTCTACACAATAAATTTGACATATTCCTTTAACAGACACCATACTCAGTAATCTATGACAAACACACACACCCTGAAGCGCACGCTCGCCATATTTATTTGATTTATTTACATAATAAATATGAATAAACCGTAGAGCAGTGTTGCCAGAGTGGCTTGATAAAAGGTAATCTTTTTTCTTATCTATACAAATAAATACTACTTTTGCGTTTAAAGAATGGGACTGAAAATGGCGTAGTCTCTATTTACCTCTCGCTTGCACACTGTCGCTATCTATACTCACACCCGCCGGTAGAGACTACAAAAAATATGTTGCGATATGCATTTTCCGTACTTGGTATAACTTCAGTCCGACTTGTCAGTGGCATAAATGGAAATAAGATACCATTAACTTAAAAAAAATGTCACGGTTTCGTAAATTTGTGAGCTAGGCATGTTCTGAGAGCTTTACAAAATTATTGTTGATTTTGGTCATGCTTTTTTTAAGTCGCTGTTATTGGTTTTGATTATTATTTATTGTTTGTTATTTCGCTTTTGTTGACAATTGCGATATTTTGTGTTTTTCTTTTATTATTTTATCTACATTCTGTTAACAATGGAGCATCAACGCGGAAAAGTACTACATTTTTTTTGTTTTATATAACGTAAAATAAAGTATTTTGAGGAAGAGAAAAATCTGGAAAGTTATTACCCATTATTAGTAATGCAATGGTGGGTATGGTAAGAGAATTGTCACTCGAATTAAAAAAGATGAGTTTAAAGAGAATTTTATCTAGTAGCTATTCGTTTGTTTGTTATAAATGTTTCGTACAGACTATGTACCATAGAATAATAAACCAAAAATATTGTATTCGCTATTCAAATAATATTCGTTTTTTCAAGCGTGGTCCGTTCTTAGGGTTACGTACACAAAGTTTGCCCCGCATGGTACCGTTACATCCTATTAAAGCCACTACTGAATAAGCCTCCCGTATAGATTGCCACGTATGGGAGATTTTTGCCATAGCTGCCACGCTTCGCAAGTGGATTGGGAACCGCAGTTTTTTTTAACCGTTATTGGGAAAATGGTGCTGCCCAGCTCCAGTTGGTTTCCCTCTATCGCCTCTTACGACACCCACGTGGCGAAATGAGATACCACCGCTACACGGCGGAGTGCCCACCGGTACCTTATTACTGCGTCTATCTTACTTTTTGTCACAGGGCTGAAGGTTTTTTAATTATTAGTAACTATAATGGTCACTTTAACGTCAAATAATGAAACGAATGAAATATTGAATCCCAAGGAAGTCTTTATATAAGAATCTGAATGACAGGGTGAGAAATTGCGTGATAAGAGATAAATGTGGTATGCAAGATGATGTTGTGACCAGGATTAAGAAAGGAATGCTTCGGTGGTTTGGTCACGTAGAAAGAATGAATGAAGAAAGAGTGACAAAGCAAATTTATATGGCAGATGTGAATGGCCGAGTCGGGAAGGGACGCCCTAGGAAAAAGTTTATCGACCAAATTGGCGATATTTTGAAAATGGGCCACGTTAGAAGTACCCTTAACCGACGAGCATGTATGCGTAGATATATGGATGTAAAGGAGGCGAAAGAGGTATGTCAGGATCGTGCCAAATGGAAGTCCGTAGTCTCTGCCTACCCCTCTGGGTGACAGGCGTGAGTGTTTATATATATATATATATATATATATATATATATATATATATATATATATATATATATATATATATATTTATATATATATATATATACATATATATATT